CGTAGAACAGATTTAAAGCAGTAACTGGACAGAACATGTTTTTATTCTCAACGAGGAAGCTCTTGCCCTTCATCACACCTGGTGGAAACTGATATTGCGTCTTATTTAGTTACTATGTTAAAAAATGTGGAAAAAATCGTCCATGACGGCTTGGACAATCTCAATCAGTCGCGCGGTGGCGCTTACGGAGGACGGACGCATGTCAGTTTTTTGGACGTGACAGTTCGCGATTTGTCGATATTTTTGATGATGACTTTGATGAGTCACAGTATAATAATATCAGTGTTACTGGAGAAAGCTAAAATATTTGATAATTAAGAATTATCAATTTTGTCTACCTATTGAAATTTAAATCGTTCGCATCCTTTTAAACGAAGACTCTACTCATGATACATAGTAAATTCCTTAAATATGAGACAAAACCAATGAGTTAAAATTACATATTAATAGTACCTACATACAATCGTCTTACACTTATTAGAAGAGCACACTGATACAAATAAATAATAAAAAATTAGGTCAGAGGGTCAAATATAGGGGCAGCTGCACGTCACTGAAAGACGATTCTGTTTACTCGGCATCTGGGCTGGAGAACATGAACCCTTGTTTACAGATGCAGATGTGAATGGAGTTATAACTGGACAAATTTTACATGAAATGTTTAACAGAAATCAGTTAAAAGACACATACATGGAATACCAATAAGGTTGCGGAGGGAAAGCTACCTATTATAAACTAGCAGCCGCCCGCGACTTCCCCCGAATGAATATTTACGAACGTCATACAGTAGTTTGTCCAGCGCTGTAGATTTTAACCAATTACGATAGGTAGAGTTCGCTTTTTAGACACGTCTTATTTATTTATTGAAATTTATTTATCGTCATAAGTTAGCCTATATGTTAATCTGGGTTATAAACAATCCCAACTATAATATTATAAATGCGAAAGTAACTCTGTCTGTCTGTCTGTCTGTCTGTTTGTCTGTTACGCTTTCCCGCTTATACCTCGCAACCGATTTTGATGAAATTTGGCATAGAGATAGTTTGAGTCCCGGGAAAGAACATAGGATAGTTTTTATCCCGGTTTTTGAAACAGGGACGCGCGCGATAAAGTTTTTCTGTGACAGACAAAATTCCACGCGGGCGAAGCCGCGGGCGGAAAGCTAGTAATACTATAAAGTTTCAACAAAATCCGTACAGTAATTTTTGCGTGAAAGAGTAACAAACATCCAGACTAGGGATGTTGCGAATATTCGCATCCGCATCCGCATATGCGGAACATTCGCATTGATTTTGACATTCGCATCCGCATCCGCATCCGCACAAATCGACGAGGATCTGATGCGGATGCGGATTTGTAGCAGGTCGCGACAAGAAAGAAAGGGGCAGTCCCGGCGAGTGGCGCGCGTCAACCGAATGTGTTGATTGACCAATAGGAAAGCAATGATATTTGTTTTTGGACCTCAGTGAATCGGTGACGGTGGCGCGTCTTGCTATTGTTTTGTTGTAATTACTAGTGAGTAGTTGTGACAAGTGACAAGAACTGAAGCGTACGTTTGATTTTATTGTGGTTTTTGTTAAGAACTGAACTAACTGTATTGTTTAACGTAATACGTAATACCAGGCCTGTTTATCTCCGCGAGTTTACATCTAAAACAAAACACGCACGATGGCCCACCTACAGGATACTATTCGACAAGGCCTCACATACGAGCGAACATTGACTCACGCACGCGTATTCTTGTGTATGATGGAAGAAACTAAAGAAAATGGTGTACTAAATACTGTGCAGTATTTAACTGCCTAAATAATAATAATAAAAACACAGAAAGTACTTTTTTAAGTTGCCTCAAGACACTGAGAGGTAAATAAATAGTTAATATTATTCATGATAATTCACGCTAAATCATGTATTTCCTCCGCCATTTTCCGCAGTTTGGCACCTCACGTCACATCATTTTACCGAAGTCAGCCCTATAGCTTCGGCGCAGTGCCGAACACTGACGTTTGTCAACAAAATGGTGCTTGACTTTTGAGACAGGCTAAATTACACCATATTGTTAATGACATTGAGCATACATTTTTTTAAATACCTTCGCGAAGTAAAACTTCTGTACGTCGTAGTACTTATTATTATTCTGTGGTAATACCTTCATTCGTATTACGAACCTTAAGTAAAGTTTTATTTACTATTTGGATAAGTGAACTATGCCAACACCTACGCAAAGTAAAATTTGGACGTATTTCAAACCTGTGGACAACGACCGGGAGAAATCGCAATGTAAAATATGGAACAAAACATATTCGTGAAAGGGCCGAACATCATTTGAAATAAATGCACGCTAAGGAGTTTGCTTTGTTTGAAAAAGCAAATAACGAAAAGCTACAGAAAATAAAAAATGATGCCGGTAAGTTATATTTTATGCAATATTTTTTTTGTTAAGTCGGGCGTTTATTATTGTCTGACATCGCTGATTTATCCTTATGATATTATAGTAGTTTTGGGTAATTATATAGGTAGCTATTTAAAAATCTTAGATTTGTCATATGAACTAAAATTTAGCTAAAAGTGTAGTTTAAGACAGTTTTTCAAATTTAATAAGTTATATAATAATTACTAAAAGTAATTCATTCTCTACTTTATTATTAAATAAAAAATGATAAATAAGGCTGTGTTTCTTTCTCTACTAAGCCAACACTTAAGTTTTTTGTACAGATCCGCATCCGCATCCGCATCCGCGGATGTGAGCCTCTTAAAATCCGCATCCGCATTCGCATCCGCGGATGTGGAAAAAAGTGGATCCGCAACATCCCTCAGACATCATGACATCCAGACATCCGAACTTTCGCCTTTATAATATTATAGTAGGATAGGATATTCACAATCCAAACTAATATTTACTATTTAGCATTTACTTACAGTAAATACAGTGTGAGTCACGTTAAAGTGTACATATGAAAATAGATGAAACAAGACCTATTTTTATCGACAAAAAAGAGGTCAAAAAATTTTTGAGATTTTTTTTAAATTTTTTATAGAATTTTTTTCTTCCAATTACTTATTGTAAAGAAAACTTAATAACTTTTAAACTAAGCGGTATATCCTGATAAAATAAAAACAGAAATAATGCTAAATAACAGGCGATACTAAAAAAATACATACAATACACAAAAAATGCCAACACGTAATAAAAAATGATACTTTTTGAAAAAAATCTGCTCTAAAATTCGTGTTTTTTTGGTTATTTGATAAATTTCTCCAAAAAATGCCCCTATAACAGGTAGTTTTTATTGTTGTGTATTATTCTCTATCGTATTATCTTTGTAAAACCAAAAATTGCATGTCTCTATCCTTGAGAATATACACAATTTTATGAAGAAAAAGCATTTCAATTCGCAACATATCAACACGCCTCTTCGAGTTACGAGCATCGCAGCAACATTGTGGTCCTTCGAGCCGGATTAACTACAGAAAAGGCTCGGCGACCCGTGGACTTTGTGCAACTCCACACATCGCAAGGTGAAGAAAAGCCGTCCAAAACGTGCATAGAGGACGAAGACTGAGGAAAGGCACCCGGTTAAGACGTCGTGAAAGTCTGCAGCAGGTCTACAAACTACAAAGCGCATTTCGGTACGGCCAGCCATTCTTTCCCTAACCTGCCTCCCCAGCTTCTCTTGTGTTGATACTGTGCTTAATTTCTCATTCCAGTGCTTGCATTCATCCATTCAATCTGTGCTACGGCATCTAGCATCCGCCTACACACCAGGATTAAACCGTATTTCCACAAATCACCATAATGACATCAGAAAAGTCACCGTTTAAACTTGCTCTCTCTGAGCCAAGTGACAATAATGTGCTTAAGGAGTTAGTCAAAACACGGGGAATTCTAAAGGGCAGGTTAACGAGAATGTCAAATTACATAAATACTCTCGTTAATCAAGATTTACCCGTTCAAAAACGCATAGATTTAAAGTTACGCATGAAAGGCATAAATGACTTGCTCACTGAATTCAGCACTCTTCAAACACGAATAGAACTAACTGTATCAGACTCAGGATTAGAAGAACAATTAACACAACGCGATCAGTTTGAAGAGAGCTGCTACAGTATCCTAGCCCTATGTGAATGCATTCTAAGCTCATATTCAGAGGTCAGTGAATCTTCTAAGGTGCCTAGTGGTTCATTACAATCGATTAAATTACCGACTATAAATATGCCTACATTTGACGGTGTGTATGAGCATTGGCTCGAATTTCGAGATACCTTTGTTTCCCTAGTGCATAACTCTAATGAAATCTCGAACATACAGAAATTAGTTGAAAATTTGATAGTGTTCTGATAAAAGCATAATTTTAATGTTTCTAGCAAAACTTTTGTATCTTGAATCAAAGATAGAAAGGTGATTATTTTTTCCAAACATTTGCAATCATAACAAATCTGTCGAAAAAAAGAAATCTGAAAAAAGTCAACCCAAAAAAAAGATAAATATGTTTAAAGCCTACTAGGTCATAAAATTTTAAAATATCACAAAATTAACTCTATCTCCTAAACTAAGCACAATCGTATAATATACATGGGGGTGATTTAGGTACACCTTGATGTAAGGAATCTAAATTTTTCTTTTAGACCTCACTGTTTTGGCCACCCTGTATGTTGCACTTACAATACCTAAATGAAAAATTAATTACGTCCGACATATTCTGTGAAATCCGTACTTATATTACTACATACACTTTCATAAACAGTTGCCTAACTTGTGGGTAGTTATTTGATTGACTGCCCGTTTTCACCATCAATCCCTAATTTTTAAGTAAGTACCTAACCCCTTTGAAAACAAAATTCCTGTTACGTGTTAGTTACCATAGAGGTCCCTTGAAAATTAGGGTGCAGGTGCTCTAACCTGTTGGCATTTTAAAATGAACACCTGTAATTAGATTACCCTGAAATAGAAATTGTGGAACGATAGCCACAAGCGACCCTATTACCGCGGAGAGCGCAGTCTATCGCATCGCAGCCGCGCGCGCGCACGCAAGCAAATAATGTAATATGGGCGCCAAGGTGTATTTATTGTTTGTTATCATCGTCTGTGTGGACTGCTCTAGAATTAAAAAAGAATCTTTTAGGAAGAACTTCAGGGTTAGAGGAGAGACGTTGGAGCAGCTGTTCGCTGTATATGACCCGACGTTTCTGGCGGTGGTGTGGCCGAAGATATCCAATGGACTGCACTTGGACGTGAGCCAGTTCTGCTGGGACGATGTGTCGGTGTTCTTCAAGGACTTGGCTGAGGGATGGGCGTGGGCGTTTAATGGTAAGAATAAATGTTTTGATTTTAATAGTTAGAGTAAATAGTTTAAAGTTATATAACATTACATTACACAGCCTCATATAACTACAAGGTCTTGGGGTTCTTGGGTTGTCTGCAGGGATATTACGTATTGTGAAAAAGTTCACAATTTTTAAAATATCATAAAACAGATTTACAAGATAGTAGGCACTTAATACAAATGAAAAATGAAAATGTTCACACGATGCGGATTTAACGGCTTTTCTAGTTATGATATCAACAATCATGCTTGGCTAAGCACAGTTTCTTGTTACGTAAATAAAATAATACCACAGTTATTATAATAGGTATGCTCAATACTCAATAATTTATTGCATCCATAATGTTACAAACGAATGGTTTGGTGGCGCAGTGGTTGGACGTTCTCTAGTATCGTAGGTTCGAACGTGACAGTAGCAGAGTTATTATTTTGGTGGAAATTAGCTGAAAGCGGACTTCTTAATCACACATTTTCAAAGCTGATGAAGTGAATAAATAAAACTAATCAATCATGAAAATTAACAATAATAAACGTCCGGAAAAATGGCCAATAAATTATGTCTTGTAATATCGATAAATCTGTTGTTCATGAATGGACGATTATAATGCTAATGCGCCACTTTCGTTGGAGGCATCGATCGTTCAAGTTCACCGGCGCGCACGCAACGTTAAGACACGCTGTGGCTGCAAAAACCTGTGTAGGTTTTTCACGCACCATTTCGATTATCGTACCAAGCGACAACAGCAACGTATTATTTTGCACATGGTTTATTCAGTAGTTCCAATGTACTTTTGAAAGAACTACAAGTATTTTTTCGGTCTAGTTCCTTTAAGTTCTTTATGATAGTTCCTTGAAAGGTATTTGGTAGTGGTATTTAGTAAACCAACTGCTGCAATTTTGCATTGAGCAATGAATTTTGACAGCAAGTGATTTTTTTTGTTGGTAAACAAAATAGCAGCACTTGGTCCTATGTTATTTGCGTGCAGCCCCCTAGACAAAATGCCAAATACGACAGTTTTTATGTCGCAAGATGGTCGAAAAGCCAGCCAAAAAGAATTTGCTCACCTTGTAGAAATTTTTAGATGCCTTGCAAGTTACAACGAAAGTAAGCTCGGTATTTGTTGTTCAGGCGAAAGGTCGCGAGTTCGAATCCCAACTCGATGACAGTCAACATTTTTAAGTTGCTAATTTTCGTTCATAAGCGCCGTCGCTCGCGGTCGTTTAAAGTGGGATCTAAACACATATCTAAACCTGTATTTAAGTTGGGTCTAAAAACGGAAAATGATTTCCCATCATTCATTCATCCCTACAATTATAGTCCGATTTTTAATTCGACGGAATTCTGACAGCTGTCATTTTTTGACAATTCAGATGTAATAAGCCTTTTTTGCTTTGAATTATTATTAAATAATACGAAATGAAATTTCATCAAGTACAACTTACAAGAATGAACTATTGTTTGTAGTGTCAATTCAATGTACACTAATTATTATGTACATTTTAGAGTTTAAATAGAAAAAAACGTGTTTTTAACACAGTAAAACAACATATTATCATTTACGAAAATATGTATTGATCATCAATCATCATTATCGTCGTCATAATCAACTTGGATTATAAAATTGGCATCTTGTTAAATTGGTTATTTTATGAACCTAAGATTTTATTAACAAAAGGATTTTCATAAAAAAGGTTTGTAACCCATGGATTATTGGCCAGGGAGTCCAGTAATAGAAAAATAATTTCCCAATCTTTTTTGTAACTTCAAAAATATGATAATAAAAATTCAAATAACCATTTTGAAATGATCAGTACATTTTTAAGCCTTAGTTTTTCAAGTGAAACCTTAAATTCAAGAAAGGATTATTTTTTAATTTGTGAAAATGCTCTCCATTCATAATGGGAATGTTTCAATGTTGACAACACTTCTGAAATGTCAAAATTCCGTCGAATTAAAAATCAGAGTGTAGATCAGTGTTGCCTGCAGAAAATTATAGTCGGCTTGAGAAATTGTTAACGGAGTTTTTGTCAGATCTATTATATTTCAGTATTTACTTTTACTCAGGGCAATGTAACTTCTACATGAAGAATAACTCAGACGTGTGTACAGTTACCTATTACTGCCGATCATAACTTATTCAAGTTAAATTGCCGTTTATTTCTGTTATGAAATTAAGCCTAATCTAAATTGCATGATCGATATTTGTTTCTATAACGTCACGCAACTCTTGATCGGGCGATAATTGAAAAACGCTCGATTTGAGGAGAAATAGAAAATTGTTATCGACGCATCAGTACACTTGTCCATGCATAAAGATATGGCGTGTATGCAGACACGTTGACATCAACGATGTACTGTTATTGGAATTGGGAATAATCTATCTTCTATATAAATAAAAATGAATTGATGTTCGTTAGTCTGATTAAAACTCGAGAACGGTTGGGCCGATTGAGCTGATTTTGGTTTTAAAATGTTTGTCGTAGTCCAGGGTAGGTCTAAACGGTGAGCAAATACGGGCGCGATATTGTTTTTCTGTGACAGACAAAATTCCACGCGGGCGAAGCCGCGGGCGGAAAGCTAGTAATGAATAATTATTTGCCGATTTTCGGTTGTATTAACCTCGGCGCCTGATTGATTGGTCAACGGGAATCTTACAATCTTTTTCCATTACTATCAATACTTTCTCGTTTCGTTGTTGAACTTTGACTTACAATCAATTGGAATTGTCGTTATTCATATGCCTACATTTATCTGTTAGATTTCCCCGCCGATCCACCAGTCATCGAACCACCGTTAGTTGTCCGGCGTTCGAGGTTGTTTCATCAATCTTAATATCTACCATTTCCATCTCAGTCTGTATCATTTCCTCTGGTTGAATAGAGCCTTAGAGCAGTTTGCATGGCATCATGGAAACGTAACTTTATCAATAACTAGACATATTAATCATCCGATATCTAGGTACAGGCAGTCATAAATGGATTGTGTCTCATTGTCAATCATTGAATATGTGATTCAGAAAAGATATCTCTAGTACTAGATCCATATTTGAATAATGATAAGTAAGCTTGTCCTGCGCTCTCCCCGTTCAGAGTTATGGAAATCATTGGGGGAGGCCTTTGTCCAGTAGTGGACGTTATTTGAAACGACGTACGACAGACGTCTTTGGCTGAAACGAACGAAAGTAAACTTGAAAGTGTTTAACTGTGTGCTAGTACCTACTAGTATGAAGCCACTAAAATGAGCTTACAGGTAATTTGAATTGGAACTATTTTCCAGTGGCTGACGCATCTGGGCGTTACCAGGGCGGCGCGACCGGCGGCGCCACCTATTGGCTGGGCTCCAGGCAGCGATGTTCAGCGCTGGTGAGTCCTTTTATCGATTGTATAGACTTAATAGGATTACTTAATAGGAGATGTGTAGGAGAACGTGGCCTCTCACTATAGGCCTTATACAGAAGCTCAAAGTTGCACAGCGTGCTATGGAGAGGGCTATGCTCAGTGTTTCTTTACGAGATCAAATCAGAAATGAGGAGATCCGTAAACGAACTTAAGTCGCTGACATAGCCCGACGGATTAGCAAGCTGAAGTGGCAATGGGCAGGGCATATAGTACGCAGAACTGATGGCCGATGGGGCAGCAAGGTTCTGGAATGGAGACCGCGTACCGGAAAACGCAGCGTGAGACGTCCACTCACAAGGTGGACAGACGACCTGATAAAGGTATCAGGAAGGCGCTGGATGCCGCTATCAACCGTGCGATGTGGAAGTCATTGGGGGAGGCTTATGTTCAGCAGTGGACGTCCTATGGCTGAAATGATGATGATGATGTGTGGGGGAGAACGAAGAACCTTGCAGCAGATGCCAATTAAATGACCAAACGTGCGGTAAAACTGATTGTCTACCGTGCGGTAGCTAGCAACCACTAAACGATGCCTACATTCGTAAAACCTGTATTACTCATGTGGTATTTGTTATATTCAAATTATCTATAATATTTTATGGAGTTCATTATTTTGTCTATCCATGAATTAAGTGATATTTTTTTGTAACAGGACAACAATTTCCTAACAAGAGACCACTCGGACAACTCGACTTCAGATGACCTCTTCGAAGGTGAATACCTGATGGCACTCCTTCAGAGAGAGAAGATATATAGCACTGGTGAGTAATTCCATTACATCATAACATTATGGACAAGCCAACAAGGTTCACCGACGACGTCATAAAGGTAGCAGGAAGGCGCTGGACGCACGCTACCAACCGGGCAACATGGAAAGCATCGGGGGAGGCCTATGTTCAGCAGTGGACGTCCTATGGCTGAGATGATGATAATATTATGCTCTCCAAAAAGATCCTACCAAACTACATAAAATTACTAACACTGAGCGATGAAACGGCAGAACCTGTTAGTAAACCTTCGCTGTTTTGTTCGGAGTTAATTGGCTCCGTGAACGGATTAGATTTTTGGAGGAATCAAAGTCACTTGTCTATGGTCTCTGGTTTCTGTTTATAGAAGAATAGAATAGAATATTGTTTATTTAGCACAATACACAATACAAGATATAGGCACAATACAAGATAAATAAATAAATAAATAAAACATACATAAAAGAACACAAAAAGAAACATTCACCCGTTTCTGTTTCCTTGCCAGGTGGACACGAATGGCACAATTTGGTCCAGAGCGACGACATGATTCAGCGGCTGGTGACCATAGACAACCGGCCGCCGTACCGCCTGGCTTACAGCGTCATCACCTTACGCCTCAATGTGACTAAGATCACCATGACCAAGGTAGGAGGCATAACACGGTAGCTATTTATGTAGCCTTAAAGGAGCCATTTTGCTACAAAAAAAACATATTTAAGTCCACTTAGGTGTGCGTAAATGCTGCAATATTATTACATTAATCACCTAATTTTCTAGCGGACAAAAAACTTAAATGCTTGATTCCTTATTAATAATTTATTTAGCAAAAAACTTTAATTTTAATTCTTAGTTTTTCCTTTCTTATTGTAGGTAATTTTTTACGTTATTTTCAGTCATATGGGGTAACACTAGGCCTATGCCTGCCCCGCTCGTGCTCGCCCGACGACATCGAGGCAATCGTCGCCTTCTCAATAGTCATCAACGACAACCTAAAGTCCAACAGAACCGTGCCCCGGGTCGCCAAAATCACGTCCCTAAGGACTGTAGAAGATTACTACCACATTGAAGAAGACGCTGGAGCGATCGTCCTCATCTGTATCACAGCGTTCCTTTTAATACTTTCGATTGTAGCCACAATAGTAGAATTAAACCTCATCAGATGCAGAATGCTCAAACCACGCAGTTCCAGGTCTGTGAGCTTCAATTTGCAGAAGTACAACAACACTGACCCAAGTAAAAGGTACCTTGATACTATTAAGAAGAAGCCTATTGATAGTTTGTGGAAAGAGCATCCGTTGGGGAAGCTGAATAAAATTGACGATGACGTTAATATGAAGCCAGGGGTTCCTCCTACGATTACGCTAGACGTAATGTCCATGGAGAGAGCTATGGGCAGCTGCAACCGTTGCGGGAAGTACAAACGGCAGTGTAACGGCTTGCCCACTCATTCGGAGAATTTATCCGCGTGTCCCAGGGTCAAATACAGTTCTGTGGTCAGTCTGAGCACGGCTGAGAGGCGAAGCAGCTTTACTAAGAGGCTGCTGATGTGCTTTTCACTGAGATACAGCTGGAGACGGATTTTCAACACCAATATGGCGAATAAGGACTTGTCGGTGATGCACTTGACGAGGGTGGTCGCGACGCTATGGGTAATCTACGTGCATGTTGCGATGATGGTGAATTATGTTGCAGGTCAGTTATATCTACTCAGGCAGGCAAATCTAAGCCTAGGCGCAGACAACTGATTTTGAGTTGGCCGATAGTTCGTCGCTTGCCTCTCTAACTGACGTAACTGACATTTTGCAAAATTTTCAGGCGATTAGACAGATCGATTCGTCTTGCGAAATTGATTAAGATGGTGTAGATAACTCAGCTTCGAAAAAAATTTCAGATACGTCAGTTAGAGAGGCAAGCTACGAGTTGGGCCCGATTCTACGTAATTTCTATGAAGAATCGGCCGATATCATATCGGTGTAATGTGCGCACTTTCATACATCTCCATACTGATTAACAGCCCGACCCAACTATCGGCCAGCTAAAAGTCGGCGATCTACGCTTAGGCTAAACAATGAGAACTCAGTTGCTTGTGAATGACTAATGTCTCTGTGGTTACGTAATTCATAAATATTGTCTTTTTTTTCAGACGATGCTGGTGAGGTGAATGATCGAAATGAAATGTATTACGTATTAGCGACGGGAACGTTAGCATTTGACACATTAATGTTTGTTAGGTAAGTTTTCTCCTTTATATACTCCTTTACTTAGGCCCGCCATACACGGACAGTTTATAGCAGCTAGTATCCAACAGCTTCAAGCTGCAACTACATAACAAACTACGAAAGCAGTTGTGACTGCTCGAGCGGTTCCGTGAGTGCATGTAGAATACTGTAGTTTGCTATGCAGTCGCAGCTTGAAGCTGTTGGATAATGGCTGCTTCAAGTTGTCCCTGTATGGCGGGCTTTAGGGAGAACATTGAAGATATTTTGCACATATGTTCTAACCAAGGCGTGTGACATTGTTCCAGTGGTTTGTTCAGTGCGCACCACTTCTTCTACCTGAAGAGCCACTACAGCGTGGAGGAGCTGGTGAGCTTCGGCGGCGGCTGCGGGCACATCCTGCAGTTTGTCTGCTTTGTTACCAATAGGATCATACGGTGTGTTTACAACTAAAGTCCGGTCGCCGAGCAGATAGAATTTTGTCCAATGACCCCAAGCTCCCCATCCTTATCGCTCACGCGGACCGGACTTTACCGAAGTTTTTAAATATCCTTGCGGGTTTAACTTTCCATCCCGGGACAAGATTGGCTTTATTGGTTGGATTTTTATTGACGGTCAAGCTGTAGATCCTGGCTACACAGGATCTGCAGCGGTGGGAACGAGATGTGAAAATGTCCCCATTCTATAACTATTTTGTATTTGTATGTTAAATCATATCAATCATAGGGCAACAAATAAAAGGACTGTATCATGATGCTCTTTGACTTTAATGCTATGGTATTTTCATTTTTTTCTAGAATGCTCACAATTACCAGAATTCAAACTGTCTGTGTTATCATTTCGGATGAATGGTGGTTGATTTAATCACACTGGGAATCATTTCAAAGTTTCTTACCTTTGTTGTAATGCTTCGACCACGATCGGCGATCATAGGCCAATGACAGGTCGCGCGGACTGTCATGGGTCGCGCGGCCTATCATTGTCCTATGATCGCGCCGGCGATGGCGATCTGCACGCGTTGGTGGGGTTGAAGATTAAAGAGAACTCTCCTGTTTACTAGCCAGTTATTTAAATTACGATATGAGTCTAGTCTACAACACCTTCCTTCAGATTACTGCCATCCTACGCCTACGCGATCCTGTTGTGCGGCGTGACAGCGCGCTTGTCGCGTGACACGGCGGTACTGTCGCTGCCGCCGCGTGACGCCAACAACTGCGAGTCTTACTGGTGGCGGAACATCCTGTATATCACCAACATATACCCGGCGGAGGAGCGGGTAAGTAACTTTTAATTAAGTATTTGTATGTCAGTGATGCATTTATAACTTGGAATTAAATTAAGAAGTTAACTTTTACCTGAACTTTTTCCAGCCTTCCCAATAAAGACAATCATAATACATTTTGCTAAATGTCACCACACCGTTCATTTGTTTAGATTTGCATCGAGCTTAATTTCTTCCTACGCTAACGTTGGTCGCTTACACACGGCACAGTTTAACTATCCATTTCCGTTTTTGCTCTCGCTCTCATCAAATGGTGATTCTTTGCGATAGAACGAGACGACATGACCGGCAATGCGCAGTTAACACTGTTGCCGATGTTAGTACGTCAGCTTAGTGTATAATTAAACACGTTACACGTCGCTAACGTCGGCGTCGCAGTATGAAGCATCTTCATACGCTCAGCTGCTGACGTACACGTACGAGTTACGGCTTTAGCTTAAAGTTAACAATCTATTTATAGTCCAAGAGTTTTGTGCCTTAAATACACATAAAATGAAGACTAAAACAATAAACTTGTTTGTGTACAGTGCATGCAAGTAGCATGGTACCTATCTTCGGAGACGCAGCTACACGCTGCGGGCGCTTTGCTATGCGCAGCTTGGGCGGGCGCGCGCGGGCGCGTGGCCGTGGCCGTTACTCTCGGCGCGCTCGTGGCTGCCAGCGCCGCTGACGTCAGCAGCGCCTACGCCGACTCCGGCCAGCAGTGAGTGTCCTTGCATGCTAGTGCTCGCTGTATGACGCACAGCACGCGGCGGGCGCTTTGCTATGCGCAGCGTAGCGGGCGCACAGTGGCTCTCGGCGCGCTCGTGGCCGCCAGCGCCGCTGACGTCAGCAGCGCCTACGCCGACTCCGGCCAGCAGTGAGTGTCCTTGCATGCTAGTGCTTGCTGCCTTATGACTAACTGCACACAGCAGGTGCTTTGCTATGCGCAGCGTGGGCGGGTGCACAGTGGCCCTCGGCGCGCTCGTGGCCGCCAGCGCCGCTGACGTCAGCAGCGCCTACGCGGACTCCGGCCAGCAGTGAGTGTCTAGTGCTTGCTGCCTTATGACTAACTGCACACAGCAGGCGCTTTGCTATGCGCAGCGTGGCGGGCGCACAGTGGCCCTCGGCTCGTTCGCTCGTGGCCGCCAGCGCGGCTGACGTCAGCAGCGCTTACGCGGACTCCGGCCAGCAGTGAGTGTCTAGTGCTTGCTGCCTTATGACTAACTGCACACAGCAGGCGCTCTGCTATGCATGGCGAGGTGGGCGCACAGTGCCCTCGGCGCGCTCGTGGCTTCCAGCGCCGCTGACGTCAGCAGCGCCTACGCCGACTCCGGCCAGCAGTGAGTGTCCTGTGCATGCTAGTGGCTCGCTATCTTATGACGCACAGCACGCGGCGGGCGCGATGCTATGCGCAGCTTGGGCGGGCGCGCGCGGGCGCGTGGCCGTGGCTGTTACTCTCGGCGCGCTCGTGGCTTCCAGCGCCGCTGACGTCAGCAGCGCCTACGCCGACTCCGGCCAGCAGTGAGTGTCTAGTGCTTGCTGCCTTATGACTAACTGCACACAGCAGGCGCTTTGCTATGCGCAGTGTGGGCGGGTGCACAGTGGCCCTCGGCGCGTTAGTGGCTTCCAGCGCTGCTGACGTCAGCAGCGCCTATGCGGACTCCGGCCAGCAGTGAGTGTCCAGTGCATGCTAGTGCTCGCTGTCTCATGACGCACTGCACGCGGCGGGCGCTTTGCTATGCGCAGCTTGGGCGGGCGCGCGCGGACGCGTGGCCGTGGCTGTTACTCTCGGCGCGCTCGTGGCCGCCAGCGCCGCTAACGTCAGCAGCGCCTACGCGGACTCCGGCCAGCAGTGAGTGACTTTTCTTACCACATGCTGATAATGATCATCATCAGATAATTTAGTCAAACTAAATTTTGGTCTCCACTACAGGAGCAGGATTCTCTCTAATTTAGCAGATGCAAATGGTTTTTGGAGGATTTGGTCTACACTACACCGCCGGCCTGATGTTCGTGTATTTGGCTCTTAGTCGCCCTTTTCTTTCCTTTAGAGAAGAAACAAGTATTAATAACAATTATGTTTTTACAGTTTGCCCGGCTTATACGAAGCATACGTTGCCATAATTGAACGACCCTGGGCGAGGGTGGTGCCCTACTTTATCGGCGTATTTACTGGATGGATGGTGCATAGGACCAACGGGAGAGTTTCGTTCTCTAAGGTAGTATATCCCTTTGTTTTTATAAAATACCTGTATTTCATTTGTGAAAATCCTTGAGCATGAACAATAGTGGTTCAAATTGAGTGCCCTGAAATACTCGTAAAAATATCAAGTGGTGAATCATAGGTATGATTCTTCCATTTCAGAGTCAATTAATTAATATTCATTCACAGTTTTAAAATAAAATTAAAGAAATGTTAATTTATGATGAAATGAACTAATTTTTTTTTAATAATGTCAAATGCATGTGCTAAATCTTAATCATGTGCGAAAAAGCATGTAAAGTACATTGGAAACTTTAGAAAGTAGTTTCACTTGTGAAATTCGCGTCTGTGGGACTAAAAAAGAACAAGATTTGGAAATACAAATGTATTTTATTGTCGTTCCCCAGGTGACGGCGTCTTGCCTGTGGTCAGCGTCAGCATCGACGCTGCTGACGTCAGCGCTGGTTCCGTGGCTGGCGCTGGACTGGCTGGCGGCCTGGGTGCACCTCACGTGGCCGCTCGCTCTACTGTGGCCGACGCTCGTCTGCTCCACTAACTACGCCTGTGAGTTTCAAACGACTGTGGTCTGCGTCAGCATCGACGCTGCTGACGTCAGCGNAAATTGAATAAGCTTTTTTTGGTTCATAGTAGTCATGTCACTAGGACGCATAGTTTCCGAGGATTAAGCGAAAAACCGAAAAGTGGTACCTTTAAACCCCCCTCTCCCCGCCGGCTCAAGGGCTAAGGGCGGGGACTTTTGCTATGTTCACCACCTAACTAGGCTAAATAAAGTCCCGAGGTCAGAAATTGTGTTCCACGGATTTCTCTCTACACCGTCGTTAAGGCATTCATTGACTGGACTATTAGTGTCGGTTTTCGCTTGCACTAGGTACTGTAAGAGTCAAACCTGCCAACATAACCGTGCAAGAAACAGTGCTGCTAACATTTAAATAAATATGACGTTTGCTAACGAATAAGGTTTTGCTTGTTTATTTTTCTATCCCATCAGTGCAATGCAATGATGACATTGGCCAATTGACAATAGTTTTTTTTATTTAATAGAAATAATAATGGCAGGTTGAACCAACAAGAAGGTTTTAGTTTATCAATCATAATAATCTTCTTGACAAGATAAATCGTCAAACAACTTTGATAAATAATTTTGAACTTTACTGACGAACAGTTAAAGATTATTTTCTCTAACTCGAAATTATTCTGTAACATAGTTTCAAAAGGTAAATTATGTGTTCGCGATTCGTTGAAGGAATCAATTTGAAAACTGACGAACCTTTTCATTCCGTGACGTCCGTGACTGTACATTTCAAATGTCATGAGAATTTTCAACACGAGTAGGTAAAAGAAACGAGAAAGGCCATGTTTATCGTTTTATAACCAAAATTTGATGTTTTGTTATTGTTGATTTTTTATGGTAGGTAATTAACGAATGAAACACTGCGTTTAGTAATATTTTCGTCTCTACAAAACTAGACTTGGGAACTGTCACTTAGAGCGCTTTCACATTAAGCGTTAGAAGCGCGACAGCAGCGCGCCGCTGCGCGGCGTTTTTATAATGTGAAGGCAGGTATCCGCTGTCACATAGTATGAAATTATCGGCAGCGCGTATGTCGCGCGTTTGTTGCGTTGCTAAAGTCGCCTAAATGTGAAAGCGCTCTTAGGACCGCATTACAAAACAAATAACTCGATTCAATCTCAGAAATAAACTCTGATTCGTCTAAAAATCCAAATTGAATCCAAAGTACATGCTTTAAAGTCGCTTTCGCGTCGTTCTATAACAGACCTAACCGTTGTTGGCTAAACTTTTCCCAGCAAAAACCACTGATTTGATAGTAAGCCTTCTTTTTACCATAACTCAGCAGTTCCGAAAACAAAGCCTGTTGACGTCGCTTCGCAAACAAGTTGTGAACCCATTCGCTTAAACTGTTTGCTTTGCGGTTACAGTCTCGTTTAGCAACAAAAATATTGGATACACCGCTATTTTTGGCCTAATGTCTGTTTTAATATAAAATATGGTTGCCGGCGAGTTGCGCAACGGGAGCACAGACGAGCGACTTTATGTCGGCGACTGCTTGCGATAGTGGCAAGGGACGGTCAGCGATTGTATGTCGGTGACAGTCTTCGGCTCGCACCTTTCGCTGTCATGACATATTGACACTCTGGCTGGGTTACTACACCATCTTACTTTAACTTTGACAAATGTCAAAAATCTGTCAAACTCCAAACAAAATACACCGGTTGCCGTTATAGTAACGGTCAAAGTTAGGTTGCAGCTCAACCTCCGACTATACGTTAGTGACTGCCCGTCTTCGAGAGTCGCGATGCATCGGCGACTGACGGCGACCATCGGCGGTATTTGTGATGCGTCGGAGACGATTGTCTAATTTGAATATCGTCGGCAATTATCGGCGATAGTCGCCGATATATTGTTGCTCGTCTGTGAGATCCCGAAGTTGCCGTGGGAAAGGTCCCACGGCAACTTTCCGTGATTCTTGCAGATTTTTTTTGCAGGAATCCGTTTAGTAGCATACGTACTTATTTTAATATGAACATTTGCATTCACATGAAAATCCCGTTTACTGAGTCCCGCAATAAGCCGATCTGTGCAGTGCAGCGAGCTTGCCCAAAAGATGCTTGTTCACTCATGTCAAGAAAACTAAGGGTTGTTTCCTTTTCGGGAACACACAGACTTGTTGGGAATATCCGTATTTCAACATGTTAAAGAAACCCATAGTTTCAGTTCTGTCTGTCTGTAAATACTCATAAGCGACTCAAAACCTATAGAGTACTTTTTATTCATCTAGATCTAGAATGATGTTAATCTGGTACAAACAAAACTAAGCAAAATGTTCTAAAATAAAATCAAAACATTTCTCTAGAACATTTCTCTTTTAAATTAAGCTTCGCAGAAGTGCTGTGAGACGCACCTGGCCCGGTAGCAATTCCGCAACTAATTTTCATACAATAACAATAACCAGAAACTTTTCCAGTTAGAATTAGTGAGAGCAAACGTATTTTTTTAAGTTAGATATAGCCGTGGTTTCTGAACTAATTTGAAACTCTACGCCATTCGTGTATGTATGTACTGTCAACACAATTAAATATTCAATTTAAGTGCTTTTTGGTGAGCAAACTGAACATTGAGGTCGCAGTTTCATAGCTGATGTAGACAAACCACTATACGAAATAGATACTCAATTATTAAACTTAATTAACAACATCCGATACTATTACTGAACCCCAATTACTACCGAAGCGTGCCCCCGATAGAGTTCAACTTCACAATCTCTATTAAACATTACAATCGCTTTCTAGGAGATAGCAATTATTTCCCACTAGTAAACACACTTTTTAACAACTGTCAAACGCAGCTCTTCAATAGATTTGTACACCAAAAGGAGCTTTATGAAATCACTTTGCGATAAGTCAATTGACTAATTTTAATGATTTCAAACCTACTAAATCTATTTTCACTAAATTGTAAACTAGGTATTTTCAGGGCTACAATGAAGTGTTTTTTTAGGTTTAGTTTAGAATGGTGTGAACTACCCATTTATTTAATGACTCGTTTTCATCGTTCGTTCGTTCATTTCAGCCAAATGACGTTCACAGCTGGACAAAGGCCTCCCCCAAGGTTTTCCATAATGAACGGTCCTACGCTGCCCGCATCCAGGCTCTTCCCACGTCCTTTTCCAGATCGTCGGTCCACCTAGTAGGAGGCCTGCCCACGCTACGTCTTCCAGCCCGTTTTCATCGAGTTTATCAAAAATACTGGTTAACGATGCACAGATTTATTATTTAAATAATATTTTATGCTGGTTCGTACTCTTCACAAACCACAGTAATTTATTGGATATTGCGACAGATATTTTAGTTACTGATGTTTACTCCAGTCATAATGATGATGATGGGTTTTTTTAAGCATGAAAACGCTTCCAATCCTCAGATGGCAGTGAAAGTTGAAAGTTCCTAAACCTATTTAAAATGCTACAACGGAGTTCGAAGTCACGTTCATTAAAACCAAACTCAAACATAATTTTGGAACAAAGAAGTTGGAAGTTTCCAGAGACGGGGGATTTCCAGGCCTCCATTATTAATCCTGGAAGATCCACGGATAACAACTTCGTGAAACAATTTCTCGCGTTGAAAGATACGAAAATGTTACTGACAACTTGTGAAAATTTTACGAGACGTGGTCTTAGAGCTTTGCATTGGGTATTGATTGGGGAGAAAATATACAGGGTGAAATTTAAATTGTTGTCCTTTTAAATAAGACTACTCATGATACATTGTCATTAGTACATTGCCCAAATGTGAGACAAATCCAATGAGTTAAAATAATTAAGTTAAACACTGTGGCATCTTAAGACTACCGATTATTTCGATGTAAGAGCTGTTAATTTGCAACAAAATAAATAGTTTGATGTGTGGTTGACTGTACACTTGTTTTAAACTCTCTAAAAGAGCACAGTTATACAAATAAATGGTAAAAATAAAGAACAAAAAACTAATTGTATTTGGGAAATGTAATAAGTAGGTATCATGAGTAGAGTCCTTGGTAAAGTCTTTTAATCTAAGAATTATAAAATTATGCCAATGATTTAATTTTCACCCTATAGAAGGGGCGAAGGTTTTATTTCAGAGATTCCATTGTAATTTAGACGAGATATTGTTGTAGATAAGTTTTCAAGCTAGTTCAAGACATTAACTACGAAACGAAGTTGGTATTTGAATTTTTAACTTTAATATCCAAGCCTATGATTGGTCTTAAAAGTGATAAAAGTAATTTATTTTCTGCANTTTCTGCGAATAGGCTTTTAGAAAGCGCTTTTACACATCTCTGTATAATTTTAATCCTACTATTGTTTCGGCATTTTATGGAGGACCAATAATAATTTCGAGAAGATGCAGCGCAAGAAACTCAGCCGAAAATGTTGAAATTCAACTACGCGTAAACTACGCTGGAATTTGAATCTTTGTAGTTATTTCTCAATACTAATCACCCTATGTATCATAGCAGTTTTGTATTAGGTACTCATGGCACACAAACACTGAATTACATCGAACTTCAAAAGAAGAGCAAAAAGTTTTGCATCACTGATCGCTATATCCCGTTGCCAGTTCCCTTGCTATACCCACCACCTAGTATAATCTACGAAAGTTTGCAGAACATAGATTTATAGAGGGGCGGTGGCCTATATTTAGCTTGTTTGCGAGCGGGGAACGTTTGCTTGGTAAAATGACACATCGATGTATCTGGGTGCGACTAATTTAAGTTTTAGCAAATTAAATTGACGATGTACTACGTGTTTTGGTTGCGAGCCGCCTTATCAGGGATATAGTCTTATAACAGGGGAGATAGTTAAGGTTATAAGATAGAGATGGTAACACCAGTAGTTAGAATTATGTAATAAGTAAGTCAAGACTTATAATGTAATGATATTTCACAAGTACTACAAAATAAACATCCAAAAATTCCAACCAAAGCACAACTTTTATAAAACCACACACTTTTTGGTGTTACAAACTGATTTATGTAGTTTTCATTTAGTCTGGCTTAAATCTGGTACTTATTAGCAGTACAAATACAAAATTGTTTCGATTTTTTCGAAACAATTTTGTATTGTTTCGAAAAAATTCGATTGGGGTTTTCTTAAGTAAAAGTAGTTACTTGTGTTAGAAAACCCCGCTCTCCATACAATGATTTACAGTAGCTTGAGTAAAAGTGAGTCAATAGAATTATTNAGAATTATAGCCAATAGCCATACAAAATCTATGGGAAAAATTTTCGTTTTGACATAAACAAAGTACTAAGTCAGAAAAATCTACTGTTTATTTCAATGCTCTAACAAAGTCCTTCTTTTTGCCCCGCACGCTTCTCGTAACTTATTTTTATTACGTATTTTATATTGTCCTTTACTATTAACAATGCGAAATGCGTGTGGTCTCCAAAAAGGGAGCTGATGATATATTGTGTTGGTCAATTGATTCAATTGATTCGCAGTTGTATCGTATAAGGCATCATTAGTCTATTAAATGTCGGGTTCAAAATGAAACGAATGAAAAGCCTTTGAACGTTGTTATTAGTTCGCATGGATGCGACTTCCGCGAATTTTTGTGATTCAGTCAATGAGTATTGTGTTTTGTTTTACAATATTGTTATTATTTTGTTGCTTTGTCTACTAAAACATACAAACTAAACAGTCAGCGTACCGATTCTACTAATTAACCTACAACGATAATTTTAACAAAAGTTTTTCTGCAGTAAATTGTATTCGTAACACTGCACGTTTTTCTGAAATTATACCGCACTAATATTTTGGTCTGTATGGTTTCACGCTGGATCAAATTTTGGTCTAAATCTCTTTAGAGATAGATGGGTACCAAGAGGTGGATATAGTACTGTATGTATATCTCTCTATGCCTCTAGCATCGTAGCTGAACTCCAAACGAAACTAATTTTATTTAGATTACTATTCAGACATTTTTAAGTTAATGATATACTGTTTATGTAATTCTTTATTTACTTTGTAATAGTTAACACAATTTGACTGTCCCTAACCAACCTTGAAACAATTTAAACTGCTGTTTTAATAAAAACCTAATCCTAGCAAGCTCGGAGCTTAATCAGTTAAGCAAGGTTCTTAACAAACCCGTGTATGTAGGGTAACCAGGAATTCGAAAAGTCCTGGCTACAAGCAGGACTGGGAAATTCCGGACAACATCATAATAATAACTTGGAGTCGTAGATATTTAAACGTAGTTTAAGTATTCGGAATTTTAAAAAAACCGGCCAAGTGCGTATCGTACCACGTGCAGTGTAGGATTCCATAGTTGCCCGTCGTTTCAACAAGCACTTCACCTAAGTCACTTTTAGTGTTTTCTTCTAAAGAATTTCTATTACGCTTTTTTTTAAATAAACTTACCTATTTATTAGAAAAAACGACTATTACTCTTGAACTCGCTGATCTATCATCCGTTTAGTTTAGATCTAGCTCTTGATATTTTAAACGAAACTAAATCTTTGTCCAAAAATTGGATACAGTGTCACATAATGGAAAATGAAACAATTTTAACTGCCATTTATCTAAATATACTTTACTTAATCCTGGCAGGCCTGGCATTGCTAAGCGCTTAAGTAGGGTTACCATAATATACTAAACTTAGATTAAAAAATCTAAAATTCCGGATATTTCAAAATATTATGTCCGAACTGTTTAGATTGGTATAAAGAAAATAGAATCTCCTACTACTTATTCCCGTGGATGTTTTAATAAAAAGGCAACTAAGAGACAAATATGCAAACATCAAAGCTGTCAAATTCTCCATTTGCCCCTGTTAAATTAGAGATGGTCGTGCACGGATAAGTTCAAAGGTCGGAAAAGGTCTGAAGGAATAACCAAAAAGTCCTACTTATCCGGAGTAATCAAAACGTGTGGTCACCCTGCGTGTAAGTTAAAATTCAGTTTGCAAGTAGCTTAATTAATAACTGTCGTAGCAAGTAAAGCCGTAGCAAAGTGATGTATTAATTTAGGAAAATTAAAACTCAGTGCTTTTTGCGTGTGGAAATACTGTGATTGTTTTAAGTGATATTTACTTTATCAAAAAGGAGAATGTGTTTAATATTTATGAATTCGTAATATAAGCACATTATTGACATTTCACGATAAATATGATTTTTGTGTTGAATATATTTATTTGTCTGAATTTATTGAAATTAGTTTTATTTTTCTTTTGTGAGGTTTGTAATGAGATCACGATAAATCAACCTACCTGTGATACAATTAAATTGATATTTTCAAATTGTGAATAACATCTGGGAATCGAACCTTGGACATCTAAATCATGAAGTAAAATTCTAACCACTAGAATACGAAGGCAAACAGTCAAATAGTGGTTATTAGTAAAAAATAACACTTTGTTTCTATTTTCACTACATATTTTATTCGCAAACAATAATAATAAGTCATGGTGATTGTTATAACTACCTACTTATAATGCCTTTAGTAAACCATTTACACTAAAACCTGATTTACATGAGGCAATCCAATAAGCCAATCCAATATTGTAATATCGTAAATACCCAACAATATGGATTGACTTAAATGGATTACCTATTTCGATTAATAATGTACGACTGGAAACGTTTGACCTCTATTTTGTGAGTAATTCATATAAATGGGAGATCTTCGGTGACTGGACAAAGCTTCCAAGTTCTACGCTTAGGGGAGACCGAGGAGAGTTTTAATAGAGGAGAGTTGTGACATTGTCGATTTTTTGACACCTAGATATTAACTATCAGCAGGCTCGCAATAGCGCGCATTTGTTTGCTAGACATATGCCCCTATTCACAAACGATGCTTGCTTAAGTGAAGCTGCAAATCGAACGCACAGCGTTGAATAGAGCTGTATGATTGGTTCATGTGTCACCCTGTGCGTCCACGCGCACTTTGAGACATCATAGTAATGTTTGTGAATACGGGCGTTAAACTGCAAAACGCGCACTGTTACGAGCTCGGTAGTAGTTAATAAGTTTCAAATAATTTTAACAAAAAAATTAAAACTGACTCCAAAAAACCTGCAGTAAATGCGATTTCCCTAGGATCCCATCATCAGATCCTGACTTGGTGGCAATGGGACCACCTCAGAATCAGAAGTGTATCCTATTGAACAAAAAAAGTATTTTGAAAATCGGTCCACAATTGACGGAGTACCTAATCGGTGAACACTGAACATACATAGAAAAAAAAAACATACAGCCGAACATTATATCTTCCTCCTTTTTGAAGTCGGTTAAAAATCGTCAATGTCACACCTCTCCTCGGTCTCCCTACAGCTTCAAGTTAAGTTTAAGACACAACTTACCTCAGTCTCCCTTATTATAGTTAAGTATAGGCCAGTAATAAAGTTAAAAACATTACATACCAGTGTCCCTTGTAACGTCGAACAGTTTGGCCTGGAGATACCGGTGTGGGGGTGTGCCTTTGGCTAGAAACAGGCTCCCTCTGTCCGCCGATGTGAGCAAACACACGTTCACGAGGATCTGCGAAAATAAATGTTTGTTCAGCACTGTCCACTACCATTGTAGTCTTATAAAGGGTATGAAGCAGGGATGTTATGGATATCCGTAACCGAAACTATCGGATATCCGAAATAAAAAAATATCCGTAACCGTAACCGATTCAAGTTTCGGATACTTAGTTTCGGATATAGGCAGTCTAAATCTTAATATTTTTTAATATTTGTTACATGTCTGGCATTCCCTGGCACTATCTGATATCCGCCCCTGTTTAAGCTTTATCATAGATGCCGTCATAGTACTTACATATTAATAAAGTGGTTATGTGGGTCGCGACTCGCGCAGCATCTTGCTACTTGCGAAATTATCCGAAACTTTCGGATAATCCAAAATGATTTTAAATCCGTAACCGTTATAATATTATTCTAATATCCGTAACCGCATCCATAACCGAAACTTCATATCCATAACATCCCTAGTATAAAGGGAATTCCTGAGCAAAATTTGATGTTTGAATAGTGCCCGTGCGTGCTCGAATCCTAAAGGGCTATTCCATTTTTTATTAGCCCGAGCCGAGGGTTGGATTTTAATGATTAAATACCCGTTTATAAATGGACGGTTTGGAGTCTAGACTGTGTTTAAAAATAGGCCTATTTGATACGTGCTAGCATTATTCAAGGTATTGCTTTAGGTGTTTGTAAATTTTTGTTATTAAAGCTAAGTTGCACCACCTTACATTAACCGTAACTCTAATCGTAACCGGTGTTTTTGTTTTTAGTTTTACTAGCTTTTGACGTTTGTCCTAGCCTTTTTATTGTAATTTTGCCATTTTGTTTGTATCAGACAGAGGAAAATAAGAAAGTCAGAATACTCAAGTATGTCGGAAAAATGGTCAGTGTGCTTACCATGAGTTTACGTTAGGTGTGCTCGCTAGCGAGTATGTCAAAAAATCTATGAAGTTTTTATTTCTTGAAAGTAGCCGCTAGGGGCGCTGTACAATATGTCATACATTTAATGTAATTTTTTTACGCAGTCGCTAGCGAGCACACCTAACGTAAACTCATGGTAAGCACACTGTTGTTGTGAATTTTAAGCAGCTTTAATTTCCACTTGAAGTTTAAGCTGCTTAAAATCCACTTACGATAATACGCGAAATAAGTCACATTCACATAATATTAGCTCAAAACCATAACATAATGATAAGTAGGTATGTCCAAAACCTAACAATAAGGGTCATGTCTAAACTGGATCGTCCCAAAACAATAATGCCTCCGTCACTTTCAGTAACAAACGTTTTTAATAAAAGAACACAGGCCAACACAATCTGTATGCATCCCACGGATGCAGATTTTAATCTCATTCCATTGTCGTAGCCTGGGATACATTTGCATTTAACGAACGAGGGTCTGGGTAATGCAGACAATTTAGGCCACTAGATGCCGCTGTAAACGATTTGAAAAAGAAAAAAGTTGCTAGCAACTTTTCTTTTTTCGTTAAACGCTAACGTTTAGCCGCGTTTAGCTTCAATTTTTCAAAGTAGAATCCTCTTTCTAAGCTGTCCTAGTGTGACCAATGACAGGACGCGCGTCCTAACATTGGCCTATGCACGCGCAGTGATCGCCATCGCCGACGCGATCTGCACGCGTAGGTTTGGCTGAAGCTTTAAGGTTCAGCCAAACCAACGCGATCACACGCGATCAGCCGGCGTGCAGAGATGGCGATCAGACTTAGGGTTCGGACAAACCAACGCGATCACACCGCGATCAGCCGGCGTGCAGCGATGGCGACCAGACCTTAATGCATTGATCGCCATCGCTGCACGCCGGTTGATCGCGTTGGTTTGGCCGAACCTTTAAATGTATTGATCGCCATCGCTGCACGCCGGTTGATCGCGAGCGATCGTGTTGGTTTAACCGAACCTTTACTCAAGCCGCGATTACGTGACAATATCAGTTTATTTGTTGTTCGTTTTGTACAGATTACTAGCGGCCGCCCGCGACTTCGTACGCGTGGATCCCGTTTTAGCCCCTTAGTGGTTGAATTTTGCGAAATCCCGTCTTAGTGAGCACCTACGTTCTAAAAGGAATCCCCATGCAAATTTTAAAACTCCTAGCACTTGTAGTTTCTGAGATTTCGTAATGAGTGAGTCAGTCAGTCAGTGACCTTTCGCTTTTATAATATAGATTTCGTGCGTCGTCTATTGGCCTGATTGGTCTGTTTCCAAATAATCCTGAGTTACATTAGCCCTTTCTTCTATTAAGGCGTTTTTCAGCGAATCGACGTTGAACCATGTTTGCTCGTAAACAACTAGATTAATGTTTATTTTCAGTTATACGAAGAAAACGATGCCTAAACTGGATTATCTGGGCTAAAAAGCTGTCTTTGATGTTCAGACTTTATTTTTGAAACTCTCTAAGGTCATTTTGAGGGTAAAAAGTATTAGTTTTTATTACATAAAGATCTTATTATACAAGTTCGTTAATAATAAAAAAGTTGCTTTGAACTTTCGGGTAAGAGTATGCTTATAAGATTAAAAATGAATGAATTATAAACAAAATGGACGACAGTATATGGACAGATAATATCAAGGTATGTACACACTACACACTGTGGCATTACTTATAGGTTGATGGTAGATACCATAATATTGTACTGACATCTAATCTACAAATAATTTCCAAGTTTCATGATAATACAAGAATTAGAAGTGCGTGTTATTCAGATTCTTAGATTCCATTGCATTAGTTACATACAGGTTGACCTAATAAAAGCGTGTTAAAAACAGGCAACTCACATAAAAAGCGGTAATCACTTACCATCAGTGTGCTTACCATGAGTTTACGTTAGGTTTGCTCGCTAGCGACTCTACCGAGTTTCTATGAAGATTTTATTTCTTGAAAGTAGCAGCTAGGGGCGCTGCACAATATGTCATACATTAAAATGTAATTTTTTACGCAGTCGCTGGCGAGCACACCTAACGTAAACTCATGGTAAGCACACAGGCGATCCGTCTAAGCCAAACCAAGGATAATCTACTTTGAGTGTATGAAAAAATCACGTCTAATAGACGTCATGTGATCAATAAGAAACGCATGCATTATTGAATTCCGCGCAACCCTACTACGAACGACACAAAGGCTCTGCGGGGTTACTCCAAAAACGTTATCCGAAATTTCGAAATTTGCTATCCCTCTCACACAGAGTGAATTACCAGTACGAGGGATGGTGACAGATAGACACGAAATTACGTAAGCTGCTGTTCGGAGTAGCCCCCCTGTTCCCGTAGGCATAATAGGAAAGTAGGCAGAGATTTACCACGCCCGAACTGGAAAGTTCATAAGAATAATTTATAAAGACAAACCCCAGGACTCTTTTTATAGCGGTCCTGCCCTTTTCTTTAGAATAAACAAGGACAAAGTTATTGTGTTTGTCGACAAAAGGACTAGCGTAAATATTTTTTTAATTAAGGTAATTCTGCCAGAAAGTATTTAAATAAATATTAGCATTTAAAAGTTTGTTTCTCTGAGATTATTAACTGTAAGTAACTATTTTACTAGTAAAGGTAAATGCACAACTGTATGTACCAAACGCGCCTAAAACTTGTGACAAGTTTGGATAAAATTTTACTATGTATCTCAAACTGATTACTATCTTATAAATAGGCACCTCTCCTCTATTACGACATTTATCCAATAGACGATGGTTCTAATGATTTCAAGAAACATTAATAGGTTGCAATGGACCGCCCTCATTTGTGATCATCACTGATTGCTGACGACGACGATGAAGATGATGTATATTATAATAAGATATCTCTAGGTTCTTGTATGCAAGAAACTGTGTTCTAAAAACCACTTTCACACTTCATTTCTTCGTTCCACCAACAGCAAAGTTATAAAATTTATCTCCCTCATAAGTAAGGGCTTCTTTAGACGTTTCGCGAACAATATTAAGTTACAAAGTTTTTTGTCTTCAGATATTTTGGGGATCAATTTGACAACTGGGTCAGTGTGGCCAAGTTGTGAATGAGGTTGGTGCCTAACAGTTGAATTTAGAGATGTGCCGACTTTTTTACCGACTAGCCGACTAATCGGTTTAAAAGTCAAGTTGGTCACGCTTTCTGGGGAATTCAGCAATTTACGTAATTATTACGGGAATATTATCTTACTATTGAAGGGAAGCTATCCCGAGAGCTGGAGAGTTTGTCCGACCAGTCGATTAGTCGGTTTTAAAGAAGCCGAATAGTCGGCAGACTAGTCAGCCAAGTAGCTATTGGAAAATGTTTTGTTTCAAAAGAGATACTTAGTCAAACAATTAACGTTTTTCTCATCATCATCATTTCAGCTACAGGACGTGCACTGCTGAAGATAGGAATCCCCCAATGATTTCCAGATTGGTAGCAGTCTGTATCCAGTGCCTTTCTGCTACCTTCATGAGGTCGTCTGCCCCTTCTTGGTGAATCTCCTACGATGTGCTTTTCGATACATGGCCTTCAGAACCTTCCTGCCCAATCGGCCTTCAGTTCTGCGTGCTATATTCCTGACCATTGCTACTTTAGCTTGCTAGGAGCAATTTTAGATCCTTGAAACGAACAAACCAAAGAAAGTGCCTGCATAGTCGGATAGTCGGCTACTCGCCGAGTAGTCGTCGACTAGTCAGCACATCACTAGTTGAATGTTTCTTCTGTTAAGTTTAGGAAAGGTCTGGAGTGTGAATAGCCTCTGGGAACGCTTTTTCTCGCCGTTTTTATTCACAAACGAAACGATTTAGCTGCGAACCGTAATAGGTAGAGTGTGTAGGTCTTTTGCGTTTGTTCTTGCGAAATATTTTTCTTAAACATTTACGGAATAAAATAGGTATGAGAAACTTATTAACTTTGATAGAGTTGGAACGAGCTATCAAATAATTTTGAATTGGTGAAGTAAGGAAACTAAGTTGGTAATCTCAACTTTAATTTCTCCAGATGCATTTTGCATTGTAAAGTATAAAATGTTATAGTTACATTATAATATGCAATCAATGAA